CTCTTTTTTTGCTGAGGGTGACTGGCCCTGGGCTAACATCTGTGCCCAGCTTCCTCCCCTTTACATGGGACACCACCACAGCATGGCTTGACAAGCAGTATGTTGGTCTGCACCCGGGATCCAAACCTGTGAACCCTGGGCCGCCGAAGCTGAGAGTGCGAACTTAACTGCTATGCCACTGGGCCAGCCCCCTTGTCTTCAGTTTTCTTGATAGTGTCCTTTGACACACAAAAGTTTTTCATTTTAATAGAGTCCAATTTAATATTTTTTCTTTCGTTGCTGTGCTTCTGGTGTCCTATCTAAGAAACCAACGCCTAATCGAAGGTCATGAAGATTTATGTTTATGATTTCTTCTAAAAATGTTACAGTTTTAGCTCTTACATTTAATTTAACTCTTTGATCCATTTTTAGTAAATTTTTATACATGGTTTGAGGAAGGGATCCAACTTTATTTTTTTTATATGACTATTCAGTTGTCTCAGTACCATTGTTGAAAAGTCTATTCTTTTCCCCACTAAATTGTCTTAGTACCCTTGTCAATAATCAGTTGACTGTCTCAGCAAACCAGGACTAGAAGGAACTTCCTCAACTTGATAAAGAACATCTACAAAAAATCTACAGCTAACATCATACTTCATGGTGACAAACCACAAGCTTTGCAACAATGCAAGGATGTGCCATCTTACCACTCCTTCTCAACATCGGACTGCAAGTCCTCGCTAATGCAACAAGAAAAGGAAATAAGAAGTATATAGATGGGGAAGGAAGAAATAAAACTGTCTTTGTTCACAGATGACACAACTGTTTATGTAGAAATCTGAAAGAATCAACAAAAAAACTCCCGGAACTAATAAATGAGTATAAGTATAATAAGGTTGTAGGATACAACATTAATACACAAAAGTCAACTGCTTTCTTATATACCAGGAATGAACAAGTGGAATTTGAAATTAAAAATATAGTACCATTTACATTAGCACCCCAGAAAATGAAATACTTAAGTATTAATATAACAAAATACATCCAAAATCTATATCAGGAAAACTACAAAACTCCGATAAAAGAAATCGAAGAACAAAGTAAATGAAAAGATATTCCATGTTCACAGATGGGGAGACCAATATTGTCAAAATCAGTTCTTTTCAACTTGATCTATAGATTCAACATAATCCCAATCAAAATCTCAGCAAGTTATGTTATGAAAAAAAATTTTTTTTTTTGTGAGGAAGATCAGCCCTGAGCTAACATCTGTACTAATCCTCCTCTTTTTGCCGAAGAAGACTGGCTCTGAGCTAACATCTATTGCCGATCCTCCTCCTTTTTTTCCCCCCAAAGCCCCAGTAGATAGTTGTATGTCATAGTTGCACATCCTTCTAGTTGCTGTATGTGGGACGTGGCTTCAGCACGGCCGGACAAGAGGTGTGTTGGTGTGCGCCCAGGATCCGAACCCGGGCCGCCAGTATGGAGCACGTGCACTTAACCGCTAAGCCATGGGGCCGACACTCAGAAAGTTATTTTATAGATATCAACAAACTGAGTCTAAAGTTTACGTGCAGAAGCAAAAGACACAGAATAACCAACACAACATTGAAGGAGAAGAACAAAGTCAGAGGACAGACACTATCTACTTGAAGCCTTTCTATAAAGCTACAGTAATCTAGACAGTGTGGTACTGGTGAAAGAAGAGACAAATAGATCAACAGGAGAGAACAGAAAGCCCAGAACTAGACCCACAAAAATACAGTCAACTGATCTTTGACAAAGGAGCAAAGGTGATACAATGGAGAAAAGACAGTTTTTTAAAAAAAACGGTGCTAGAAAAATTAGACATCCACATGCAAAGAAATGAATTTATATACAGACCTTACACCCTTCAAAAAAAAATAAACCCAAAATGGATCACAGACCTAAATGTAAAATGTAAAACTATAACACCCCTAGAAGATAACATAGGAGAAAATCCAGATGACCCTGGGTTTGATGATGACTTTTTAGATACAAGACCAAAGACATGATCTTTGAAAGAAATAACTGGTAACTAAGACTTCATTAAAATTAAAAACTTCCGCTCTGCAAAAGACACTATCAGATGTGAAGACAAGCCACAGACCAAGACATAGTATTTACAAAAGACATATCTCATAAATGACTGTTATCTAAAATATACAAAGAACTCTTAAAATTCAACAATAGGAAAATAAACAATCCATTTTTTTTAACAGACACCTCACCAAAGAAGATACATAGATGGCAAATAAGTACATGAGAAGATACTCCACATCATATGTCATCAGGGAAATGCAAATTAAAACAACAACAAGATACCACTACACACCTGTTAGAATGGCTAAAATCCACAATACTGATAACAGCAAATGCTGGTGAGGATGTGAAGTAACAGGAACTCTCATTCATTGATGGTGGGTATGCAAAATGGTACAGACACTTTGGAAGACAGTTTGGCAGAAGTAAACATACTCTTACCATATGACCAAGCAATTGTGCTCCTTGGTATTTACTCAACGAAGATGAAAAGTTATGTCCACACAATAACTTGCACATGGATGTTTATAGCAGCTTTGTTCATAACTGCCAAAACTTGGAAGCAACTAAGATGTCCTTCAGTAGGTCAGTGGATAAATAAACTGTGGTACATCCAATGGAATATTATTCAGTGCTAAAAAGAAATGAGCTATCAAGCCATGAAAAGACATGGAGGAGAGTTGGATGCATATTACTAAGTGAAAGAAGCCAATCTGAAAAGGCCCAACTATATGACATTCTGAAAAAGGCAAAACTATGGAGACAATAAAAAAAAATCAACAGGGGTTAGCGGGAAGGATGAACAGATGGAGCAAGGAGGATTTTTAGGGCAGTAAAACTATTCTGTACAATACTTATACTGGTGGACAGTCATTACACATTGGTCCAAATGCAGAGAATGTACAATACCAAGGGTGAACTTTAGTGTAAACTATGGTCTTTACTGTGTGGCTTCTTTCACTTAGCAAAATTATTTTGAGATTCATCCATGTTGTTGAGTGATGCATAGTTCATTCCTTTTTACTGCTGAGTAGCACTCTACTGTACAGACATACCACAATTTGTTTATGCACTCACCTGTTGGTGGACATTTGGGTTGTTGCTGGTTTTCAGCTATTACAAATAAAGGTGCCATGAACATCTGTGGGGATGTATGCTTTCAAATACCTAGGACTAGAAAGACTAGATCGTAGGGTAGATGTATGTTTAATTCTTTAAGAAACTGCAAAACTTTTCCAAAGTATTGTATCATATTCCCCCTAACAGTGTGTGACAGTTTCAGTTGCTATAATTTGTCAGAATTTTTTTCATTTTAGCCATTCTAATTAAGGTGTGTAGTGATACCTTATTTTAGTTTTAATTCTTGCAATTAAATTTCAATTCTTTCTTGTGCTTACTAAAAAATTTCGATTTACTTTTAAAGCCATGTTCTAAAAAGTTATCTATTAACTACTACATATTATAATAAAATAATGAATTTAAAGTCTACAAAAATGAACAATTCATTTTATCCCTGCCCATCCAATGTAAACAGTTTATGTGACACAATGTGATTTAAAATAATTTGATATGGACAGTATATCTGCAAGAATTTAAAGTCTTCTAAGTTAAGAGGGTTATTTATAATTTGATAAGGAATGAAAGAATGGTATTCAAAGCACCACTGCTCAGATGAGAATTTTCTGTACAATAATTCAATTCATAAATTAACACTAAATTTGGAGTATCTAAGCCACTAAGTTTTCAGTGCTTTTTAGATGATTTTGTTAAACATTTTTTTGATTAGTAAGATTTTTAGTCTTGCACATAGACAGACTTCCAAAAGGAAATTTGAGTTGCCTTAAAATAAAACAAATCTTTGATTTATGGCTCTCTTATCCTCAATAGAGGACTCATAAAGACCAAATTAGGAATCCTTTAGCTATACTACTGTTATTTGGGGGTTATACTTTTGTTTTTGCAGGTATTTTACCTGAATAAATCTACCAAATTTATTTAAAAAAAAAAAGCTCCAGACTATACTGTATCAGAAGTTTATAGAGGAAACTTTTATGTGGGTTCCCTGACCTACAATTTCTAAAAGGTGGAAAAAAAAATTCACACTTGAAAATATAATTTAAAATCGAGAGATAAATCATCTTTAACAATCTTAAGTCTCATGACCTCCAGAGAGATGGCTTTTTGTAAAACAGTCCTTTTTAAAAAACAATGAACAATAAAGTTACCTTAGCAGCTTGAGATTCTCTTAAGTAATATTTTAAAAGGTCAGAAAGTTTGAGGTCCTCATCAGCAGACACTCGTGCCTCTATTTTCTGAAAAAGGAAAAAAAAAATGAGCATTTAATCAGCACTTACATACTACATTCAGTGTTTTCTTTCTTAATTGCTGTAAAAAAAAGTTATAAATAACTACAATATCCACTCCTATTTAATGTAGGTTTTCTTCCCTTCTCCTTTACTAGCCTGTTACTTTTCTTTGTAACTCTGACAAAAAATGAACAGAAAAAAGAAGATGAGATCAAATGAGACTTGTGAATTTATGGAAGGACTCCATATTTGACTCAAGTTCTTGGCTATAATGAATTTCAATACTATCTTTCAGCTTCACTTATATTTTCTCTCTTCGTTTCAATGGAAATTGATATGTACACATGATTTTAAAGTAATAAAGGCTGGCAATGGTAGACTAAGTAATTCAAATCAATCCTCCTGCTGAAGACAACCAGAAAACATACTCCAAACATTAGCAAAATGTGCTTGAAGACAGTAAAGAGTAATAAACACACATGGTTAGTCTGAGTTGGGATGACATGGGAAATAGCCACGTCAGACTAAAAAGATGACAACTCTTCATTCAGCCTGGAGAGACAGAGGATAAAGAAAGATGTATTACATCAACCAAATACAGTATAGGGACCTTGTGTGGATCCTGATTCAAACAAACTCCCCTGTAAAAAGCCACTTATGAGACAACTGGGAACATCTGTGTACTAGATATCTGATGACATTAAGGGAAATCATTGACAATCATATTGGCTATATTAAAATTAATTCTTATCTTAGAAAAAAGAGATGTGCACAAAGAGCAGAAAAAAGAATGAATATGGACTTCCTAGAATAAAAACTTTAAGCAAGGTAAAAAACGTTAACTTTCAGAAAATCTAAGTGATGCATGTATAGGAATTCTTTGTACTGTTCTTGTAACTTTTCTCTATGTCTGAAATTACTGTCAAAATAAAAAGTTAAAATAAAAAAACCGTACACATCCACCAGAATGGCTAAAATAAAAAAGATACCAAGTATTAACAAGCTGTGTAGCAACCCAATGCTCACATTCATTCCGGTGGGAATGTAAATTGGTACAGTCACTTTGGGAAACAGTTTGGCACTACCGACACAAGCGTTTCACATGGGTAACCTATGACTCACCAATTCCCCTCCTAGTTACATACACCTGACAGAAAACACATACTTACGTTCAGCTGAAGATATACAAGAATGGTCTTAGCAGTACTATTCGTAAAGAGCCCCAAACCAGAAACTATGCAAATGCCTACTAAGAGTAGAACAGATAAATAAATTTAGGTATATTCTTGCAATAAGAATGAAGGAACTAGAGCCAGCCCTGATGGCCTAGCGGTTAAAGTTCCACACGCTCCACTTCAGTGGCCTGGGTTGGGTTCCCAGGCTCGGAAACACACCACTTATCTGTCAGGAGCCACGCCATTGTGGCAGCTCACACAGAAGAACCAGAAGAACTTACAACTATACACAACTACGTACTGGGCCTCTGCGGGGGAAGAAAGGAAGAAAAAAGGAGGAAGATTGGCAACAGACGTTAGCTTGTGCGAATCTTCCCCTGCAAAAATAAATAAAAAAGAAAAGAAAAAAAGAATGAAGGAACTATACCTACGTGCAACAACATGGATGAATTTTATGTACATAATGCTGAAAAAATGAAGCCAGACATAAAAGAATACATATTGCATTTATTTTCATTAATAATGAAAATAAAACTAATCTCTGCTGTTAGAAGCTGGGATAGTGGTTACCCTTGCAGGAGGTGGTGACTCAGAAGGCAGCTGAAGGAGGGCAGGGCATCTGGGTTGCTGGTAATGTCCTATTTCTTGATCTGGCTGTCCATTACACAGGTGTGTTAAATTTGTAAAATTTCACTGAGCTGTACACTTCTGATATGTGCTCTTTCCTATATATATAATAGACTTCAACAAAAAGTTAGAAAAAACTTGAAGCTTCTTAAAAAATATTACTTCATGGAGAAATAAACCTATGGAACTTCTTAACCTAACAGATAAGAGCATAGACACAAAGTCTATTCAAAATTGATTTAGATAAATTTAGATAACATGCTAGATAGATGTTCGATGCTTTTAAATATGGCTCCTCTGCCTTCATTAAGAAGTAGAGTTGCATGCTCGCTTCGGCAGCACATATACTAAAATTGGAACGATACAGAAAAGATTAGCATGGCCCCTGCGCAAGCATGACACGAAAATTCGTGAAGCGTTCCATATTTTTAACTAGAAGGATGTGCAACTATGACATACAACTATCTACTGGGGCTTTGGGGGTGGGGGGGGAGGAGGATTGGCAATAGATGTTAGCTCAGAGCCGGTCTTCCTCAGCAAAAAGAGGAGGATTAGCACGGATGTTAGCTCAGGGCTGATCTTCCTCACAAAAGAAAAAAAAAAAAAAGTAGAGTTGGTGTTCCCTTCTCTTGAATCTGGGCTCTAAGACTGCTTGATCAACACAGAAGTGATGCTGTGCAAGTTTCCTGGCCCAGGGCTTAAGAAACTAGCAGCTTCCACTTCCCATCTTTTGGGACGCTCATTTTGGAACCTAGCCACCATGCTGTGAAGAAGCCTAAGAAGCTCCATGGAAAAGCCACATGTAGGTATTACAGCCAACAGCCCTAGCAGAAGTCCCAGCTGCCAGCCAGTATCAACTCCCAGACACGTGAGTCTTCAGATGATTCCAGCCCCCAGCTTTCCTATCTTCCCTGTTGAGGCCCCAGACATGATGGAGCAGTCAGGCCATCTCTGCTGTGCCCTTTCTGAATTCCTGACCCAAAAAATTGATTAACATAATAAAATTGCTGTTTTAAGCTACTGATTTTAGGATGGTTTGTTACATGCAATAATAACCAGAACAACACGCAAACACTAAAGCAAACAAGGATCGTGTGGCTATGGAAATGTGCCACTCCGATCTCCTTCAAGAGAAACTGCTTGCTTCAAGGAGGATAGCTGATAGTCCAACTGCAATCTCCCTGGATCCAGAACCATGTTCGTATGAAGGTTCTGTTTCATCCTCGCCTCCTTGCCTCAGTACACCTGGCCAAAGAGAGCACAGGGGTAGCAGTGCCGGCCCATTCTTGCCTGACGCAGAACTCCTCTAACGGGCAACTCTGGCTCAGGGACTCCCCTTTGACTCGGAGAAAACTATCTTAGAACTGTGCCACAGTCTGAAACTCTTCCTGCCTCTGCCCTCTCCTCTCACAGGTGTAGACCTGCACTGCGGTCTGAAGGCTCTTCCTGTCTAGTCCCGCTCCTTCCTCTTTTTCACAATAAATCTCTTGTACATCTAATCCCATCTCAACATCTGCTTCTGAAAGAATTGACTTATAAGGCTCTTTTGTGATAGATCCCTATTGTTTTGATGTAAATGCACAGAAAAACAACTATATCTTCCCAGAAAATGCTCATTGGTACAAATATCAAAGGCAGAATAATGGGTTATACAGACTCTGGTATAACATTTATGTATTTAAGGACTTTTTCCTTCGTGAGAGAACATCTCCTCTTCTTTTACTTGTCTCCACTACACATCACTCAATTGACAAGGTCATACTGAAATCAGATTTCTACAACAGACTAGCTGCCACCACTCTCAGCTAAGTACCATTAAACATCTAATAAACATTTTCACTGTTCTATCAACTGATAAAAAATGTTAAATAATATTATATTATTTTATCTAGGACTGGTCCCTGAAAACCAAAACCAAAACATAGTAATGAATGAAATATTCTGTAGTTGTTCACTTGCCTCGTATTGACACAACTCACTTTTTTTTTTTTACAATTCAGTTTTAAAACTGTTTCATGGGAGATCAAAAGCAATACAGTCTCGGTAAAATTATAATGAATCTATGACTTCCTCCTAGCTTATGAAACCCCAGAAAAAGATCATTCTTCATAAAAATAAACCCAGTCTCCAAAATTAACATGTTTTTCGATCAAAAATATGAACTTTTACACCAATACCAAAAGGCCATAACAAAAACTGAATTTCCTGAAAAACTCTCAAATTTTCACATCTAAATCTGTCTCTTCATCCTTCTGAAGTATAACGCATCTTCCTCAGTAAAGTTAAACACGGCCACAACAAGTTAAACACGACTGTATGCAGAGGTTTAGTTAATTAATAGTTAATTAGTTAATCCCAAAGGTTAATTAATAGTACTTACTCTTGTTTTATCAAACAGTTCTGAAACTTTGAGAAAAAACCTGGAAAGGAAAAATATTTCATCAGAAGCTACCTCTGAAATAATTTTCCATTTCAAATCTTCAGAGAATATGCCCCCAAACCATATTAATAATGAACATTCTTATCTCATTATAATATTTAATGGTCCTGTTCACTGCTGATCTCATTTAGTTCAACAAAAATCACTCCACTTCCACGCATGTAACAGATTACCTGAAATCTGTTGTTGCAGAAAATCTTCTCACTTCAAGATGACAGTCTAAGCCATACATTAAACTTAAATATTTGTCTTGATATTCTTTAGTAATATGCCACATAAAACTAAATAAAGCATACACCTTCAAAATTATTACAGAAGCACAAAACAATCTCATCCAAAGAGACAAAAGACTGATTTAAAAGGAACAGTTCTTGAAGTTATCTGATAGTTCCATTTTAAACATTTTCAAATAGAGTTGCTTTGTTTTGGAAAACAACAGAAAGGAACAAGCAATTTCTATCTCAGAATTCACTTTCACTTTTAACTAAATAGCCTCTCAAATGCTGGCACCAACTAAAAAATATCCTGACACCAAACTATTAAAGAGTATTCTGTAAAATATGTAATTATACATGACATTATAATTGGATTAGCGCAAATACTATGAAAGCAAAAACACAATTTGATGAACTTTGCTTTATTGAAAAGAACTTGCTTTGACAGGTTTATGTCAGATGACACACGGCAAGGCTAACTTTTTCTTATCAAAGACTTAAGAACTAACTCTTTGGGAAGGTAGCACGTTAATTAGTGTAAGCTATACCTCGCTTTGCAGAAAAACCTTGGGTCTTCTATGTCTACTGAGACAGGATATACTAGATAAAAGTTCAAGGATGCAGTCTGGAGAAAGACGTGGACTATGAAAATAGTTTTCCCACTTAAAAATTTTTTACAAATATATTTGAATTATTTTTCAATGAAGAGTTGAGTTTAAACAATATTACGGGAGCAACTAAATTAACTACACTTAGATTAAAATGAAGGTGAAAAACTAGCACAAAGTAAATAAAGGACAGCTGTGTAAGTAAACTTCCAGAGAGCTTTTCCACACTAAAATGCACAACACCTTCCCTATCCAGTTGCCCCCAGGATGCCCTACAATTCACTAAACCATGAAACTAGAACAGTCAGCCTCTTTAAAAAGTGCAAACTGATAGCATCACATTTTACTTTAAAAGTCAATTTGGGCTCCAGTGAAATACATACATACATATTCTAATTCCAAATAGCATTTCTTATTTATAATAAGCTTTATCAAAACTTAAGAACATTTTGACATAAATTCTGTCTGTCTCTCTCACACAGACACACACAAATCAGCCCATTTTCATCAAAAAAAAATTGTAAATGTTATATGTTAAAGTCCATTTTTATTTCTCAGATTTAAAAAATAAGAGACAAAGAGAGGAGAAAAAATGACACTAACCCAGGTGTCATAAGAAGCTCCTCATTACCAATGTGTTTTGACAAAAATATTCCAAAATGCCTGCTGGGTCAGAAGTATTGTGTGTGCCCGGGCTGCCAACAAAATTTTTCTGTTGTATTAATATTTAATGTTTTTAATTAGAATCCTTACTTGCATATATCTGTAGAATCCTGAGTTCCTAAAGCATATAATGAAGAACCAATTCTATTGTAATCATCTGCAGCACCTATGGAAAAAGTTTTAAGAATTTAATATATTTATTCATTGATTCAAAAATACTTACTGAGCCTGCCAAACAATGTGTGTGTAACATGAGATACCCAAAGTCTAGTGAAGGAAATGACAAACACAACTATAACACAACACAATGAACGTTATATTAGATGTAGGTACAAACTATGTTGGGAGCAGGGAGAATCACAGTTCCCCCTGAGTGAGTCAGGGAAGGATTTAAAGACACTACAGAATGAATTGGAGCTTGCAAGACGAGCAAACCTTTACCAGGCAAAGTGGAGGGGAGAGCATTTTGGGTGAAGGGAAGAGAATGAGTAAAGGCCAGGGAGACCTGAAGGAGTCTATTCAGAGAGCCGTCTGGGACTATGGCACTGCAGGGTGCAGAGGGCAGTGGAGGGAGTTGCAGATGGAAAAATAAATTGGAAGCATCTTGTGGAAAAAAGGCTTTTTGTAAGCCATGATAAAGTTTGGATCTGATCTTACGGGAATGGGTGTTATTAAGCATTTTAAAATCACAGTGGTGGTAAATTCAAATTCAACCTGATAACTTTAGATAACAAACTCTGCTTCCTAGAGTAAAGACTAGAATATTAAACACTTTTAAATCATACACGTGGTAAAATCAACCTGATAAGGATTTTAGATAACTCTGCTTTCTAGAGTAAAGACCAGAAGTAAAGAGACAGAGAAGGTAGGGTGACCAACTAGGAAACTACTATGTCAGACATGGAGGGCCAGGATCAAGACAGTGGGAACAGTGAGAGCAGAGAGAAACCTACAAAGCTAAAACATATTTAAGAAATTAAATAGGTAGGATTTACAATCAATAGACCTGAGGTAGGAGGGGAAATTACAGCATTTGGGAAGTTAGATGAATGGTGGAACATTACCATAGGGTGTCAGGAAGCAAAGTACTCAACTTCAGCACAATACTCTTCCTAGGGCTTGCCCCACAGGACAACGTACTTGTTGAGAAAAGATTATAATGGACGCTTCTATTCATTTCAGAAAAAGGATAGTATAGTGCAATGATTACTGCCTGGGGTCCAATCCCAGTTTCCCAATATACCAGCTATATGACCTCGGGCATATCACTTAACTTGTCTATGCCTCAATTTCCTCATCTGGAAATGGAGATAATAATGGTACCCACTTCATGTAATTATTTGGAGGATTAAATGAGTTAATAAATGTTACTATGTACCTAGCATATAGTAAGTACAGTAGTATACAAATGTTTGCTATTATTAAGTAGTAATACAATGCAAGACATGCCTACTTTGTATGGAAATTCCCATTTACAATAGCAGTATTTTTACAAGGATAAAAACAGTAATCTTTATATTATATTTATGTTGCACAAAATTACATTCAATTGACAAAGCTGAAATTTAGTGACTCTATTTACTGTACTTATTGCTACTCAAAACATCTATTTTGATATGTTTTATAAAGAAACTTTGACTACAAACTTCAGACTCTGAATGGTAACTATTGTTTTTTTTTTTTTTGAGGAAGATCAGTCCTGAGCTAACATCCATGCTAATCCTCCTCTTTTTGCTGAGGAAGACCAGCTCTGAGCTAACATCTATTGCCAGTCCTCCAACTCCCCTCCCGCCCCAAAGCCCCAGTAGATTGTTGCCTGTCACAGTTGCACATCCTTCTAGTTGCCGTATGTGGGACCCAGCCTCAGCATGGCTGGAGAAGCAGTATGTCAGTGCGCGCCCAGGATCCGAACCCGGGCCGCCAGTATCGAAGCGCATGCACTTAATCGCCACGCCATGGGGCCAGCCCCTCTTCACTATTATCTTAACCTAAAAGTTTAATTTAAAAAATAAATAATACCTAAAAATCACTTAAAGCTTGGTTTATCAAGAAGCAAGAATCAAAAACGAGTTTTGTGTGGTTTTGGTTTTTTTTTTTTTTTGTGAGGAAGATTGTTGCTGAGCTAACATCTGCGCCAATCTTCCTCTATTTTCTATGTGGGACGCTGCCACAGCATGGCCTGATGAGCAGTGTGCAGGTCCAGGCCCGGGATCTGAGCCTGCAACCCCGGGGCTGCCGAAGCAGAGCACGCAAACTTAACCACTATACCACCAGGCTGGCCCCATGAGTTTTGTGTTTAATAACAAATACATTAATATTTTATGCTTAAATTGACCTTGAAATTATCTTTTAGAGAAAGAAATTCCTGGATTCTAATAATATCTGGCTCTGAGAACACTGCCCTCTTCAGCTATCACATCATTACGGAATCACAGGAAATATGCAAACTGCCCTGATTTTATACATCAGAATTCACAATGATGCTGAAAAGCTTAATTTTTCATAGTCCAGGCAAAGTTAATTCATTACAAAAAATAGCTTTGACTTTATAATTATTATTTTGTAAAATAGGTTCCCTATCATCTCTCTTAAAGTACTATTCCGTTTGGCTAAATAAACAAATAATAAGAATCACTGATTTCTTCAGTTTCCTTAACAGATGATTCTCTACCTTTGTAGTTCTTTATGTTTCCATAGCAATAATACATACTTCTATGATAAGACTTATTACAATGTATTGTAATTTTTTGCCCTCCTTAAAGGCAAAGACTATATTTTCTTCATCTGGAAATCACCACTGTCTAACACAATGGTGGGCACATAATAGATAAGCCATAAACTAACAGATATTTAGTTTATGAACTAAATAATTTTTTAAGAAATTAAAAAAGTATAGTAGGATTCCATTTTAAATCATCAAAACTAAAATTAAGGGCATTCTTAATTCCTAACAATTACAACCAACACTACTACATACCACTTCATATTTACAAACTTTTTCTTTTTTTTTTTAAATGTTTTGTTTATTGCAGTAACATTGGTTTATAACATTGTATAAATTTCAGGTGTACATCATTATACTTCTATTTCTGCATAGATTACATCATGTTCACCACCCAAATACTAATTACAACCCATCACCACACAAAAATATGGAACGCTTCATGAATTTGCACGTCATCCTTGCGCAGAGGCCATGCTAATCTTCTCTGTATCGTTCCAATTTTACTATATGTGCTGCCGAAGCGAGCACCAAACTTTTTCTTAATAGAGAAGTAGAAGTATAAGATATTTTACCCTTAATGTCATTTTATAAACAAGGAAACCAACACAAGACCAATCACGTGGTCTAACAGGCTCTAAAGCAAATCAGTAATGAATCTAGGAAGATATTCAAGTCCCACACTTTTACTTTATAGTTCTTAACTATGGAACAGGCAAGTATAAACTACTACTTCATTAGAAGAAATCTGTAAATCACAAAGATGTGAGGAAATAAAATACAAAAATAACTCTTAACCTTCCTAAAAGAATGACACAAGAACAAAAGTTACCAATTATTTCCTCCTTTCTATTACAGCATCTAACAGTAGTCCAAAAGGGAGGTTCATATTTCTAGGTCCCTACTGAGTTAGAGTCTCTATATCAGAGGTTCTCAAACTTTCTGGTCTTAGGACTCCTTCACACTCTTAAAAATTACTGAAGACCCTAAAGAGCTTTCACTTATGCAGATTATATTTATCAATATGTACTGTATTTTTTTTAAAAAGTAAAACAAAATTCTAAAATATTTACTAATTCATTGATTTAAAAGAACAGTATTAAAACCATTATGTTAACATAAATAACATTTCAAATGAAAAATAACTATATGTATTTTTTTAAATTAGTGAGCAGAGTGACTGTTACATTTCTGCAAATCTCTTTTGTGTCTGAATAAATAGAAGATAGCTGGATTCTCTTATCTGCTTCTGCATTCATTCTACTGCGATATATTGTTTTTGTTTAAGTATGCAGAGAAAATCTAGCCTCAAACAGACGTATAGCTGAAAAAGGAAGAGGTATTTTACTAATATTTTCTGATAATTGTGGATATTCTTCTTTGATACCATATCGAAACTCAATAAGCAGTAGTTTCTTTAAGAGTTAGCAATGTGGAATCTAAAATCATATCAATAAACTTTCTGTACTCTGTTACATTAAACCCCATCGGTATAAGTGATATTTATCCCAAGAATTCAAAGTTGGTTTAACATTTGAAAATCAATCAATGTAATTAACCATATTTATAGACTAAAAAAGAAAAACCATACGATTATCTCAACAGTTGCAAAAAGAGCATCTGACAAAATCCAACACTCATTCCTGACTTAAAAAAAAAAAAAAGCCCTCTCAGAAAACAAGGAATTTAAGAGAACTTTCTCAACCTGATAAAATGCATCTAGGAAAAACCTACACCTGACAACATAATTAATGGTTTAAAACTAAATGCTTTCCCCACAAGATAAGGAACAAAGCAAAAATGCCCGCCCCCCACTACTTTCATCAGCATTGTACTGGTGGGTATAGCTATTGTACAATAGGGCAAGGAAAAGAAATAAATGGCATCCTAATTGAAAAGGAAGAAGTATAACTTTTTATTAGCAGATGATCATCTATGTAGAAAATCCTAAGGAATCTACAAAATAGTTACTATAACTAATCGTTTATTTAGTATGGTTTGCAAAACATAAGATCAATATTGAAAATAGGTTGTATTTCTATATATTAGTAAAGAACAAATGGAAACTGAAATTTAAAAACCACATCATTTACAATGGCATCAAAAAATAATTAGGGATCAATCTAACTAAGGATGTATAATACCTGTACAATGGCAACTACAAAACACTGCTGAGAGAACGTAAAGAAAACCTAACTAAATGGACAGATATACCATATTCTTGAATCAGAAGAATCAATATTGTTAAGATATCAATTTTCCCCAAACTGAGGTACAGATTCTATACAATTCCAATCAAAATCCCAGTAGGCATTTTCGTAGGAAGTGACAAGCTGATTCTAAAATCCAAATGAAAATGTAAAGAACCTAGAGGGATCAAAACAACTCTCATAAAGTTGGAGGACTTACATAAGAAAAGATGGTCAAAATCATTAGTCATTAGGGAAATGCAAATTAAAACCACACTGAGACACCACTACTAACCTATTAGAATGGCTAAAATTAACAAGACTGACCATCCTCATTCACAAGGACGTAGAGCAATTGGAACTCTCAGGCACAGCATATAAAATGGTACAATCATTTTGGAAAAAAGTTTGGCAATTTTTAAAAAAGTTAAATATACACTTACCATGTGACCCAGCCAATATACTTCTAGGTATTACCCAAGAGAAATGAAAGCATATGTCTACACAAACACTTATATATAGATAGTTCGTCAGCTTTATTCATAATATCCAAAAGCTAGCAACAACCCAAATGTCCAACAGTTGCCAACAGCTGAATGGTTAAAGAATTGTGGTATATCCATATAATGGAATATCACTCAGCAATAAAAAAGAATGAACTAGTGATGCATACAACAACCTGGGTGAATCTCAAAATAATTCTGTTGGGTTTCAAAGCCAGACAATAAAAAGTACACACTGTATGATTCCATTTATATAAAATTCTAGAAAATGCAAACTAACCTACAAAGACAGAAAGCAGATCAACAGCCACCTGGGGACGGGTGGGAGGGAAGGATTACACAGCGCCACAAGGAAATTTTTGGTGGTGATGGATATGTTCATTATCTTGATTGCAGCAATGACTTCACACATAAGTCAAAACTTATCAAACTGTATATGCTGAAAAATGCAGCTTATTGATATCAATTATACCTCAATGAAGCTGTTCAAAAAGCCCATTGGTCTATCTTGCACTTTGAATGGATCTTTTACATACATGATTTTGTAACATGTACTTGATCATTCAGAAAATATTAGTTCAATGAATTATGCAGATCTTCCAAATGTTGACACACTTCAGTACATAATATCAAAAAAATCACATTCACAATACCATTATCAATCTCCTCAGACAAGTCTTTAATTATTGGGAAGCAAGCTCATGGTGATGGATTTAAGTTTTCTAAAATTCTAATTATTGCTGGAAAGCTTGACTTTTATCATTGTCAATACATACTATCAGTTGTTTTCCTTGAAGTGACAGGCTCATTCAGTTACTTTTGAGAAGATGTCTACTAAATACTCAAGTCTGAATAATCACAGTTTGTCCGTCATTCTTTCAAGTAAAAATGGTGTTCTATGAAAAAAGTAGCTAGTTGAGTCACAACTCAATCACTAAAATTCTTCTCTAGAGAACCATTACACTTCAGTATGCAAAGTGCTTCATGCATACCTCCCATTTCATCACTCAGAATGTAAAAAAATGTGTACTCAAGGGAGAAAGATTTATTACAATTAATAATTTTTACTGCTTCATCAAGGAAATTCCTAATTGAAATTATTACTTAATTACAAATACATTGTGAGAAAGAATACAGTGACTATTAGTACAGTTTGGTGCCACTGCCTTGACCTGTGCTAAGGCATCAGCAATTTTATCCACCATGGCTTCTGCATCATCAGTATAAAAGTCAAAACGGTGAAAAAGGTAAAAAGCATCATAAGATTATTATGAAAATAGTTTTAACCTCATAGACTTCCTAAAAGGGTCTTGGGGTCAAGGTTTCATAGACCAGTTTGAGAACCACTGCTCTACATCAGGACTTCAACAAACTATAAGTAACATAACTTTATAATTATTCCATTAAAAAGTGTAAGCTTTAGCCACAGAGAAAAAATCTTACTTTTGTGAGATCTTGTCATCCTATCAGATTTAGCAGATGCATCCTTAACTCGGTTATGATATTCTAAAAGGAATGTTCGTTCATGCTCAAAGAAGTCATCTACATCCTACAGGATCAAAAGAAAATATAAACTTTTTTCACTTATTTACTTTAGTGTAATATGTGAATCACTCCGTTATCATTATCATAAAAGATCGTCAATAAAACAGCATAGCTATCCTCTAATAATCAGATGTTATATTGATTTCATCAAGTTCAGACTTTAACAGACACGCATTTCCATCAATCAAGTAAGAAATCTATGGTTTTGTAGCTGAAGGCTTAGAGCTTCCCATATGGTTCATGTTCACATGCTGTACTCTGAAACATGTTCCTACTCCTGCTCTGCCTCTACAATCCTGCCAGTCCAACAAATAATTACTGCCAGTGGGAGTGACCGATTGCTTCTGAGAAAAATGGAAAAAACTTCTGGTAGACAAGTGAAAATCTCCTCCTCTTGGTCTATCATGTATTCTACGGGCCATTCCTGAAGCCTGCCAGGCCTTCTCATTAGGGCCCTCTCTGACTGCTTTGGGGAACCTGGCCAAACTAGCTAGCTGGGAGCAATTATCGTATTAACCACTGTCTTCAACCTTTTTTTTGGGAACAAAGTTAAATATACATTAAAAATAAAAATTATTAACAGTACTTTCCCTCCTTCTAAAAGAGCAATCATTTATTGAAAAAGCATCAGTTGACATGATGTAATTCAACACTCACATCAATAGAACGCAAGAAGAAAAAGTACTGACAAAATGTCATTTAAAATGTGTAATTCATGTGTACCAGTTTTCTTAACTGTAAAAATGGGGATAAAACTAACTTGCAGGGTTGTAGTGATGATTAAATAAGAAAATGTTAGCTACCAATCAACACACTGTAAATGTTCAAAAAATGTTAATTACTTTACTAGTAAAATTATTAAAATCATAATAATATAGTGGTTTACACAACGCTAAGAAAAATATTCAATATTAAAGCCTAGCAGTATCAAAATGCAAGTAAGCTGAGTCCTTACTAGAAAGTAGCCATAGCACATGCACTGTTAACATATCACTTGACCTGTCTCTGAAAAATCAAAGTACAAATCAAATAAATAGTACTTCACACCTAAGTTTTATTGTAGACATTATCTATAAAAACAGGCAACAATGACAAACCAGCATTATTTATCTCTTTTTTAGTATTTGCTTGATAATGTAATATAAACATTTTTCTCATATTTTAATGGTAAAAATTTTCAGATAAATCAATTCTTGTACCAATTTTAGAACATCATTAAGAAAAATTTAAGTGTTATTTAGGTAAATAGTTAACTTTGTAAGTATTTTCACACATATTATCTCATTTAATCTTTCCAACAATCCTGTGAGGTAGGTGATATATTAACCTCATTTTGAAAATGGGAAAAGAGATTCAGAGAAAGAGTCTTTACCCAAGGTCATGTAGCTACTAGGAGATAAAACCAAAACCTCAACTGAGCTTTTCTAACTCCAAATCTGAACCAGGTTTCCCCTAACATTTGTAAGGCCAAGGCCAAGCGTACAAATGGAGGCAGTCCGTCTTCTTGCACCACCCTGCAGCTCTCTAAGGCACCCAGAGGGACCTCATGTGCATGTGGCTGGACATTCCATCCTGCACACTGATCTTCTCCCCGTCCCTTCCCTCTCCCCAGCTGCCCCACGGTCACCCCTTGACCACCCATGGAGGATATACACCAGTGGCACAGTCTACCCTCTGGAGGATGAGCTCAGGGAAGAAGCCCACGCAGGACCTGGAATGAAGCTTGGGAGCTGGGTAGGGCAATATGGTGTTTTAGATATCTGAAGCATGGTCCGGTTTGGAGGGAAGGGGGTGGGGGTTCCAGGTGGGCAAATCCCCTTGGACCTGAGAGCTCTCACCCCTTGAAGAAGGACACTCTCTAAAGAGTGGAACCCAGCGCAGGGTGCCCAGTTTCCCAGGCCTAAGGATTCTACTGCCCAAACTTCTCTTACTCCAATACAACCTTCTGCACACCTGAAATCTCGATCTATCTCCCTCTTAAAAAAAGTAAATTCTCAAACCAATACCTCTGTTAATCAAGTAAAATCTTACCTTTACTCCTGAAACAATTACTCCATCTGCTGATTTAACCATGTTTTTAAAGAAATCTTCAAGTTTCTCTTTTTTATTTTTCCCTCGCACACTCAACTGAAAGGAAGGTAAATTTAAGTTAGCATTTTTTTTAGATTACAAATGGAAAGCAGTGCTTTCTCTATTCTCTGACATCAAAATGGCAAACTCCAAAGGATCCGAGTTTTTAAACTTAATAAAGTGGCAATTTCATCATGCGTATCCGTGATTTTCAAACTTTAGGGCATTAAAGAGGAGTGTGGCCTCACTCCCCAAGATTCAGATTCAGTGGATCTACAATAAGGTCTAGATATCTCAAATTTTACAAGCATATTTCCTAACTCTATTGCAAGAAGCCCCCTCACTATACTTTGTCAAACACTACTATGTAATATAAAGACAACAAAAATTTTAACTGGGGAGTTTCTTTAAACATGTGAAATTGATTGGAGTACAATATACCATCATGTGATTCTGTAAAAGCTCTGAAAATACATTCTGCAAATTCTCCATGCTGAACTCATCCAAGTATCATCTCTTGTCCTGTTTTGGAGTCAACAACTTACAGTACAAGGGATATCAAGATGGCTCTGAATGGCATGAATGGTTATCTAAACGCAAAACTGAGAAGCAGCTAACTCTGACTCTACCACTTGGTGCCCCATATCACAGTGCCCTGTAAAGGAACATCCCATCTAATTTCCTTATCTATTGCCATGGCTTCAATGCTCACCTTCACGTAAACGACTCACAGATCGCTATCATCACACCTAAGCTTTTTCCTGAAACTTAGATCCTATTTCCAATTGCCTAAATCATAACCTTGCATGGAGATCCTGCTAACCTCGCATTAGATGTGCCTAAAACAGTACTCATAATCTAATCTCCAAATTTTTCCTCTTTCCAGTTCCTCAAATTCACGGCCCCTCCATCCAACCAACCAGTCTCTCGGACTCCCACATGTTTCCTAAAACCCCACAGCTCTCATTAAAATCTTGAAATAATCTACAACTTCTTCCTTTCTCTCAAAGCTCAAATTCTATCAGCAAATGTCTGAAATTTGTCCCTTTCCATTCCCACTGTCCTAGCAGAAGTCCTCATCATCTCTTGCCTAGACTACTACATTGGTCTACTAGTTAATACTCCTCATCTCATCAATCCAATCCATTCGGCTGCTTGGGATGACTTTCCAAAATCAAATTTTGAGCATCTCTTCCTTACTCAATAACTTTACAGAGTTTCACAATGTTCAGAAAATGAAGGCCAATATCCTTAGCATGGTATTCAAGACTTTCAACAATCTGGTTCAACTTACCTTTCCATCCACCACCCTGTCCCCAGAGTCCTATGTTTCAAATAATTTTCAAAAGAAGCTCAAAACTATTAGGTTCTCTGTATCTGAAATAGTATCTCCCCTCTCACCAAAAATTCTGTTCAGACTTAATTAAACATCCAAATTAAAGGGCATCTTTTTATGAAATCCTTCCAAACTCCCAGTTAGAATTCACCGCTTTTTTTTTTTTTTTTTTTTGGTGAGGAAGATCAGCCCTGAGCTAACATCCATGCTAATCCTCCTCTTTTTGCTGAGGAAGACCGGCTCTGAGCTAACATCTATTGCCAATCCTCCTCCTTTTTTCTCCCCAAAGCCCCACTAGATAGTTGTATGTCATAGTTGCACATCCTCCTAGTTGCTGTATGTGGGACACGGCCTCAGCATGGCTGGAGAAGCGGTGCATCAGTGCACGCCCGGGATCCTAACCCGGGCCGCCGGTTGCGGAGCGCGTGCACTTAACTGTTAAGCCACGGGGTCGGCCCCTCACTGCTCTATCTTTAGGCCTCCCAATGCACTCTGGTTTGTTTTTTATACTACATTTTTATTAATTCACTCACTTAACAAACCATTAATGAATGTCTATTACAGTCAGGCACTGTGCTGGGAATATAAAGATGATTAAGAGGTGGTCCCTACTCTTAAATAACTTATGGTACAGAGGAGGATACAGAGAAGTAAGCATATGATTAAATACAGTGTGAGGAGTATAATGTTAGAGGTATTCACAGGACACTAGGGGAGCATCCAAGGAATTTAATACAGACTTAGGGGGTGAGAAAGATTAGGCTGGAGGATGAATAACTAGTTGGGGGTTGCTTCAATAACCCAGGCAAGAATTATGAAAGTCAGAACTAATCTTTAGGTCTGGCAATGGAAGGAAGTGGACACCTTCCTAATACAGTAAGAGAATAAAACAGACAGGATTTGGTGACTCCTCAAAGGAACAGGGAATAGGAGTAGGCATGGGTAATTTTCAGGTTTTAAGGAACTTGGAGGTGGTGATACCTTCTTTTTTTTTTTTTTTAAAGATTTTATTTATTTTTCCCCCCAAAGCCCCAGTAGATAGTTGTACGTCACAGCTGCACATCCTTCTAGTTGCTGTATGTGGGACTCGGCCTCAGGATGGACGGAGAAGTGGTGCCTCGGTGCACGCCCGGGATCCGAACCCCGGCCACCAGCATCGGAGCGCACGCACTTAACCACCAAGCCACAGGGCCGGCCCCGGTGATACCTTCTTTGAGATGGAGAATATAAAAGGAGGCACAGGTTTAAAGAAGAGTTCAGCTGAGGGTAAAATGCCAAGAGGACAACTAAATGGAGCTTTTCAGGAGGCTGTTTAATAAATATGGCTGGGACTCAAGAGTGATCTAGATTTATAAGTTAAGAGCATATTAGAGTATCTGAAGCCACAGGAGTAGATCAGATCACTTAGGGAGAATTTATAAAATTAGAAGTCTAGAGGAACTTCTAGACTCCTAGAGAACTCAATGCGGAACCTTGGAAAGATCAGATTTAAATGAATGGAGATATGGAGGGAAAAGCCCATGAAGGAGACTGGGAAGGGGCCACAGAGTTAAGAGGAAAACTCAGAAGAGATCCCAAAGATCCAGAAGTACATGGGATCCAGCATAGCTAGAAAGATATCTTAGTCAAAATGGAAAGGCATGATGTAATAGAACATATTAATAGAATAAAGGACAAAAACCACAAGATCATCTCAATAGATGTACTTTTTCATGATAAAAACATTTTTTTCATGACAAAAACACTCAACAAACTAGGAATAGAAGGGAACTTCTTCAACCTGATAAAGATTATCTATGAAAAACCCACAGCTAACATCATACTAAATAAAGAGTAAAATAGTGAATGCTTCCCTCTTAAGATTAGGACAAAACAAGGATGTCTGCACTTGTCTTTTCTATGAAACACTGCACTGGAGGCTCTAGTCAGGGCAGTTAGATGAGAAAAAGAAATAGAAGACATCCAGATTGGACAAGAAGAAGCAAAATAAAAAACCCAACAAACAAAACAAAAGAAAGCTAATAAATGAGTGTGGCTGCCAAGGTGGTTAAAGGCTGTGGAGGATATAAGAAGTTCATGGATTTGATTTCTGATTGGCTTCCACTTTCCTGAGAATAAGGTCATTATCTATCAAGAGGAACCGCTGCAAGTTGAAATTAGCTTTTACGGAAAATGGGAGAGAGCTGTCTAAAGTCATAACCTTGTTATAAATGATGGAGCAGGGACTCTAGGCTAGATGACAGAGGTAAAGACAAAAAGGCTGCTAACAGGGTCAAAATGAAGGAAAGGTCAAGTGTCTAGATGTATCAGTGAGTCAAAGAACAACTATAATGGAAATAGGGAAAAAAAAAGCTATAAGGACGGAAGGCTACTTTTGGGGTCTATAATACTAGGGTTTAAGAACTCAGAGGTCAAGCAGGTCAGCATCATGGCAAGGTCCTGCATGTGGCCACTGATGAGGTAGCAAGAATGAATGGAGGCTCAAGTGTTACATAGGTTAAATATTTAATCTACTGTTAAGTAGACTCAGACTATACCTACTGGAAACAGAGAAGGTGCACAGCTACATTAAGTAAAGCAATACTAAAGGCAATCACTCCTTGCAGCAGTGGCCATTTCTCATGCAACTACAGCTGGAACAAGCTTTCTAGACCTCCCGTATGCCCCAACGGCCTTTTTAGACTTCAAGACACCCTGGCCCTACTTCAAAAGCTCATCAATCCTGTGACCCTCTGAAACTTAGATAATAGACCAGCACATACAGATTTCTTTTCTAGCAACACTGAACTGAGAAAAGATCTGAGAAACAGCATTACAAACAAGATTGAGAAAAACCTTTTAATTTTGAGCCCATAATCTTCTACAACCTGTTAAAACACTTACTATTAAAGAATATTTGCAAAACATTTTCCAGTCCATCTTTTTAGGCTTTCTCCAAAACACCATTTGCTGATATTAAGAGTTTATTATAATGCATCATCATCATTATCTCTATTAAGCATATATTAGTTTGTAAGGAAGAAAAAGAAATCTACCTTAGTGGGAGAAAACTTAGGAAATCCTAAGATTTCTGAAAGCAATTGATAAAGCTGATCTAAATATTTAGTAATTTTTCACTTATTATTTTAACAAATATTTATTTTGTATCTTAAACTGCCAGGCACTATCCTAAAATAGTGATGATACAGTGGTGAAAAATTGAAGTCTTACTCTCAGAGAGCTTACATTTTAGTAGAGGGAACTAGATAATGAATATATAAACAAATTTTAAAAATACAGATACGTAATTTCTGATAGTACTAAGGGCTGTGGCAATGAGATAGAGTACTCGGAGCGCAAGGCTACTCTAGCTCAATGGCCTTGTACTCAGATCACCATGCCTCACTTTATACCTATGCTGCTCTACCAAATTATTACTGAGGCTTTAGCCCAGGCCATAAATAAGGCCCAGCAAAAACAAACTTAAAGGTAAAAAAGTGATGACAGCATTCTGTCACGTGTTCTTTCACAATCTTACTTATGAATCATTTTCAGCTTCTTATAATTCATGATATAGCCAGCATTCTTTACAATTTCTAGTTATAAATGACCATATGCCAGTACCACATACCACATTTATGCTTGTGAAAGTACCCATCCTTAAAATGCTCTATTTCTGTGATCTTAAATTACTGCATACCCTTTTAAAAATTTTCATTTTCTCTACTGTTAGACTCAGGACATTATTATTGTCATATCTACTAAAACCAAACCAGAAGGGCAAATTTATATACACAAAATTATTTGACCTTGATGCTAACTTGTAAGCAAACAAGAACCACGCTACATTTGTTTTCTGCCAAAATTATGAGTTTATTTTGTCATCCAAATATAGATCCCAAGATCCGTATCACCCATCCACTATAAGTTTTTTTGCCAGCACCATGAATGAAGAAATCTTTAAAGCTCCACCACCTCAATCTCTCTTTTTGCACTATAAGGGAGTTTTCAGGCAGGAAGAGAGGGAGGAAAATTAGGAGCGATCAGCACTGAAGAAGGTCAGTTAAACAGATCAAGAGTCACTATTAACCCAAAAACAATATGGAATTCTTTAGCTCAAGCACCTCCCTAAGGAACAGTCTTAGGGAGGAATTCTCCATGAGGCTTGAGAAGACTCCAAACTCAAATTCAGGAAATACTAATCAATTTGATAACCCTATTTCTTAAGAAGTTCACAATTCAGGATGAAAATCAATGTCCCATGTTATAACATGATTTACCATCATTTCTTTAATTAATCTACTCAAGTTTTACTGAAATACTGCATTACCACTGAAAAAGCGTCATTTTTAAACTGCCTTGAAAAATAAGAACATTATAAAAAGGCCTTAAGCCTTTTCTAACTACTCCCTGCCTTTTCCAATGACTCTAAAAATAAACCTCAATCACTGCTTTAATCAATTCAATACTCACATCTTGATTATATTCCAAGAAGACATGGAAATTTAAATCTTTTCTCAAAATCGGATGTGCTGCCACACGACACAGGAACACTTCATGCATTGCAACAGTCTTCTTGAATATTGCCAAATATTCACTAGAAACAATATACAAAATTAAAGGTAAAACACCGTATCAACTAGAAAAGCATCTGCAACAATTTCTTCAGTAAATACTTTTTGAATTATTCCAAATGCAAAATTAGAGGTACAAAGATATAATCCATAAACAAAGGTTTTAGTTGAACTGGTTAACAAAGTATATAAAACCCAGCTCTGAGAAGACCTCATGCTAGTTAATAGTATTTATATTTAAATGTTAATATTTTTAGGTTTTATGAACCTTTCTTCTGATGCAAATTGATGTTAAAGTAACTATAGGGGTGTGTGTTTTCAACTCCAGAGAAAGTATACTACAAATTATTTGACACAATCTTAATGATTCAATCTCTAGATAAGCACTGCTTTTAAACACCTTAGCACAAAAAATACCAAAACCCAAACCTCAGTAAGCATATTTTCATCTAATGACCCAAACACACAAGAAACAAACACACCATGGAGAGACTGAGTTTTGCCATTACACTGAAGAACTGTGTTTAAAATATTTTAATATCATCAGTGAATCATAGCGATCATATAGTAGTAACAAATGTCAGTTTGGAAAAGAAAACACTCAAGGAAAAGGCCCAACATTCTTGCTTCAACTACGTGCAAGGAGGATAAGTTTTACATACCAGAAAACCAGCAGGACCAATGTTGGGAGAAGTTTGATCTCTGTGAGGGTAGTCATTCAGTGAAGACAAAAAAGAAGGATGCAGAGGATGGAGGTAGCAGTAGAATAAACCCAAGGTTCTCTGTTATCCAACCCCTAACCAGACCACAAAAGAGTCATGATCAGGGCCACTGGAAAACCACAGATTCTTCAATATTCATCTGCTCTGCTAATTTCCAGTTTTCAGTCTTATAAACTGTAAGTATACACCTGTCTGCTATCAGACTACTGCTCGCACCCAGCACTGACAGAATTCTTAAAATATCTGTCACCTTATACTTTGACAAAGAAGACCTACTTTGCTAATTTATCTTGTCAAGAGAGTTTAGCATTCTCAAGAAGAGTCTAGTAGCAGTGTGAATATATGCTTGAAAACTGAAGTAAGTGGAAGAGGAGAAAAGGAAATGCATGAAGGGAGAAATGACCAGAAAGAGTGATGATAATGCAAGGAAAATTCTTTCCTTGTACAATTCTCAAAATACAGAGAAACAATACATGGCAAATCCAAAATTACTTCACACGTTTAATAAAAGGGGAAAAATTCTGCATGTTCAGCAATTACAATAAAAATGAAATAGAAATCATCTCAATTTTTTTCAAGGATTTAATACATTTCTAGTATATATGAAACTAATAATCATTTAATGAAAAATATTTTAAAACTATTCTCACTTTACTTTGCTCCTACTCTTTTCCCTTCAGCCAGAAGCAATAGGCAGAGAAAAGAGGAGGGGGAAATTACACACACACACACCCCACATACATTTTTCTTTAAAGAAAACAGAATGTATGCAAAGAGTTGCTCAGCGCATATTTCTAAGAGAAACAGAAGTTTTGGTAGTATGCACGTGTTGAAAGAAGAGAACTAGGTTGGTAATGACTAAGGCCTTGTAAGTAAATTAAAAAAAACAATTTACATTCTGCTTTAAAAAGACATTTCCCTTTCTACTATTTTTTATAAACTTCTGGATCCTTCATTTTCAATTTTCAGAGTCTATTTAAAAGATTAATTTAAAGATTTTTACAACGCAATTATTCCATAATTTTCCTGTAGGCTCTGATCATGATCATTAACACTGGTTGTGTGGCTTAAACCTGCATCTTTCAGAAAGGGTCACTATGGTGAAATGATTAAAAGGATGGGATATCAGAGAGCACAAAAAAAGGCATTAAAACAAGCACAATTAACAACAACAAAAAAAGTCACATACGCTTCCAGTTCCTGTTTCATTTTTGTGAATTCTTCCTTCGTCATGGACCCTTCTCCTTCTCCAAGCTTCTGTAGTTTTTCCCTTGAAGCATCAAAATCAGGTCTTGGTGGTGCTGGTGGGATCTATAACAGAACCAAATCACTAATTTTAAAGACTATTTAATTGTTTGCCGCAGTTGTACTACTGCCACCATAAAAGACTGTCTCTGTGAGAGCTAAACATATCCTGAATGAACCAGGCACCAGGAATATCCCAAGTCACATTAGAGAATTTGATTAGGTCTAGAAATTAAGATCCTTCAGGTGCTTTACATTAAAGAAGAAATACAGCTGAGCAATATTTCCTGGTATTAGGACAGTAGTTCCCAAACATAAATCTGCAGATTCCTATGTGGCAACCTAGAGTCCTCAAATGTACATGCACATTAAGTTCTGACCATATATTAAATGAGTATGTATAGCAAATAAGCATACCATTTTTCAAAAGTATGCAGATAGCATGATTAAATACATTTTTTTTTATATTAATGAATTCGTAGGAGCTTTACGCTACTGTGTTTTTTAAAATTAATGGATGCTAATAATAAGATCCAGCAAGGGATGTTAAAAAGGGTTTCTCGATTGGAGGAGAGTACCAGAAGTAGAAAGCACTGACTTAAAAACAAGACAATACGACAGAGATTAATGACTAACCTCATTCTATTCACCCACAGTAAAGGAGTAAGTAAGCACTTATCTTAAATAAAAATATAAGATCTAGCAGAGACATGTCACTCTAGGGAAGGACATAAGAAAAAAATTTATCGTAGGAGGAAGGGGCTACAAGTAAGAACTGTTAAGGGGAAATGATGGAAAGTAAAGAGAGCAAGTAAGACAAGAGGGAAAAAAGCTAAGTAGGGGGGAAAAGTTAAATGAGAAGGACTACAAGAAAAGGGTTACACCAAGGAAGGCAATAGGGAACAAAGCATCACGTATAGTTCAGAACATTCGCTGACGCCCGCACACAGAGTCTACTATGTGCAGGCATGAGGCAGAGCAATGGGCATATAAAGATAGATAAGAGGGTCATGGTCTTTGAGGAGTGTTTAGCCTATGGAAGGAGAAAGTAGTAAGAAAATGCCATCAGACAAGAAGATGAAGAAAAAAAGGTGAAAATAGGATGAGAAGAGAAGGAGCTTCCAGGTTGGTGAACACAATGACATGCCAGGAGGAGGAAGGCGGTGCGCCTGGAGAGGGCATGAAAGCTCTGCGCCAACCGCCCTCCCCATACCTTGTCTATGCATCTCTTCCATTTGGCTGCTCCTGAGTTGTATCCTTTATATAAACCAGTAATAGTGGGAAAAAAAAAAGAAAAGAATGCACTGCCAGCTGTCCACCAAACTGAGCTGTAGAAAGAAAAAGCAGCACGGGGCCAGCCCGGTGGCGTGGTGATTAAGTTCGCACACTCCACTTTGGCAGCCCAGGGTTCGCAGGTTCGGATCCCGGGCACGGACCTAAGCACTGCTTATCAAGCCATGCTGTGGCCGGCATCCCACATATAAAAATAGAGGAAGATGGGGACAGATGTTAGCCTAGGGCCAATCTTCCTTAGCAGAAAGAGGAGGATTGGCAATGAGATGTTAGCTCAGGACTAATCTTCCTCATCGAAAAGAAAAGAAAAGAAAAAGAAGCAAATGACTGAGAAGGAGTGACCACAAGTATGAAGATGGAATCAGGTCAGGATGATTTCAAGGAAATCAAATGAAACTAAGTTTCAGAAATCTGAATGTGGTCAACAGGTGAGGCGCAACATCTGGTGCACATTTAGATTAGATAACCTCTTAAGGAGCCCTCCAACTCTAAAGATCTGTCTACCTAAGGGGTCAGAACCAGGATGGTTTGTAACATCCCTTAATTAACCCATAGGACAAGCCCTTTTCAATTCTAATAAATAGTAAGAATTTAAGTTTAAATGAGGGAGCAGAACATACCTATATTCCCACGCTCCCAAACAAGACAACTCAGGATGAAAGGTTTTAGCCAATTATGTTTTATAACTGGCAATTTTTAAAAATTACATCAGTTCACTAAAAATGCTTAACAAGATTTCAACACATAATAAAGTATCTAAAAAGCTCCTAAACATGGGATTAAAATGGAACCTCAACACTTACAATGTAACCTGCATAGTCTTCATTTTCAACGAAGGAATCGTGAAGCCAGATAAATTCCTCATGTTGTCGAACAACAGAAAACTCATTTTGTTTAAAATTTGGCAATGAACTCTGCAAAGATAAAGATTCTCTCGAATAAAAATCAAAATCACACTAAAAAGCTTTTAATAAACATTTTATATTTTATTTTTTTAAATTAGTCTCATATGAAAGATCATCAGTACTCTTAAACTCTATTATGAAAACCCTGAGACACTCAGACAAAATTACCTTGTGATCTCTGAGAAATAGGTTGACAGCCTCTTATTATATTGCACCGCTACCATTATTTAAAAGTTATCCTATTGATATACATATATCAAGCTCAACTATTTAAACAAAGGAAAATAGATCCGCAATTTGAAAATGTGCCTGAGAACGGAAATCTAAAGAGAAAATTATTTGTAAGACAGTAATTTGATTAACTGAAGGAACACAAAATTGAAAGTAACAAGAATGGTAAAAGATTACTAAAAGTCTACAGAAAATTATATTTGCATTATGCCTAGATTCTATGATTAATTCTTAAGTGTCAATCTTTAAAAAGTACCAGAAGAAACTTTTTTAAAAAGTTTTTTTTAAATAGTAGCAATGAATTATAAACTATAATAGTTTCTAATTATGTTCAAAACCAAAGTTCCAGTCAATATATTATTACAAATGTAACATTATTACAATAAATAGCTAAAATAATACAAACACAAAATCACATTTACCTTTGTGTGAACAGTGAATTTTACTTTATCTCTCTCACTAAGAGCATCAGAAATGTCCACCTGCAGAGCAGCATCACTTTGAAGATCTACGTTTATTGCTTTAAGCTAGAAAAAGAAAATAATACCTTAATGAAAATTCTGAGCTTTTACATAATTTCATTCTTCTCCAAGACAATAACGCAATGCAAAAACAAAACTAAACTAAAATAACAAAAGAATCTTAAATCTAAAAAAGTACTGAAGTTCGTTTAATCTACATATACATATTTTGGGGCAGGTGCTTTGGGTATGTTATTATCTTAACCAATTTTCATTCTACACCATTCAACTATACTTTGCTTCGAATGAGTCAATGTGCTAACCATGATTCATTATAGTTTCACCCAAAAAGTAAACTATTTTCCAAGAAGATGGTCCATTAAAGTTCAAGGGTTCTAAAATTAAGGAATCTATCTACCTTTAAGAACAAGAAAAATAATAAAAAGAATACTGGCCAATAATTTTAACTCTATTGCTTATTTTAATTCAGGAACATACAATGAAACTACTAAATATACTCAAATATGTCACATAAATGTAAAGTGCTAAGAAAAATGCTAACATATAGTAAATACTCAATAACTCCTGTGATAGCAATTAAATTTCACATTTTACTCTATAAGCTTTAATACACTCAAAGAACTGAATATGTTCCCTATTTAGTGCTTCCATTTACTTGCCTATGAGAAGACTTTTCCACTTATAATTCTTACCATTCTTAAATTTCATCCATTTTTCTTCCCCTTTAAACAAACAAACATTCTAATAAGTTAGGGTAATTTGGAGACATATAAAAGAATCAAATACACTAAAAGATATAATAAAGTCTTAGCCAGCTGCAAAGATATGAAACATTTTAAGCCTAATTAACTAGCCTGGGGCCGGCCCCATGGCTTAGCGGTTAAGCGCACGCGCTCCGCTGCTGGCAGCCCGGGTTCGGATCCCCGGCGCCCACCGCTTCTCCGGCCATGCTGGGGCCGCGTCCCACATACAGCAACTGGAAGGATGTGCAGCTATGACATACAACTATCTACTGGGGCTTTGGGGGGAAAATAAATAAATAAAATCTTTAAAAAAAAAAAAAAAAATTAACTAGCCTGCTTCAAATACTCTAGTTGTAAAACCCAGGACTTACTTTGGGAATCTCACCTAGGTAGCATCTCAAATTTCAATTACAATGTAAATGGAAAAAATACTGGAAGCAAATTGTATATACTCTATGATCTCAATTATATTTTTTCAAATGCATACATAAAAGGCTTATAGGAAGTACAACAAAATGTGAATAATGGATTTTCTTCTTTATATATTCCTTTATTCTCCCAAATTTCCACAACAGGTACGTATTACTTTTACAAATAGGAAAAAAGTAAGCCTTCTTTACAGAAATCCTGTGATTTATTAAAAGATGAATTTTGTGAAGTTTTTCATTAAATAGGGTTGTTTAACTTTATTAGTAATAAAAAAAGCAATATGGGGCTGGCCCATGGTGTGGCAGTCGAGTGCGCACGCTCTGCTGCTGGCGGCCCGGGTTTGGATCCCGGGCGCACACCGACACACCGCTTGTCGGGCCATGCTGTGGCGGCGTCCTGTACAAAGTAGAGGAAGACTGGCACGGATGTTAGCTCAGGGCCAGTCTTCCTCAGCAAAAAAAGAGGACTGGCATGGATGTTAGCTCAGGGCTGATCTTCCTCACCCAAAAAAAAAAAAAAAAAAGTAGTAATATACTATTTCATTTTGCACTACTGGTTCTAGAGTGAATAAACATATAAAAAAATAAATACTGTTATATAAAATCCAATTTAAGATTCACAGAAGAAATTAATCACGGTTTAAATGGTGTGATACCATCTATGATGGCTTTTAATAAAAATTTTATTGATAACTTTAATAAATTTGTATTAAGCTAAATGTCAATCAGTAACCATATTTTTAAAAGTTTATACTATAAACTTACATGAAAACATTTAAAAATAAGGTTTAAAAATTATTGTTGTACTCAACGTTATAGGTAGCCCATTGTCTAATAAAAGAAATGAAATTAAAAGTTGCCTTGAGGTATGACGAAGTTTTCTTTTCCATTTTCCAACTACCTCGTTGCCTCTGCAATATTGGAAACAATATTGGAGAACTCTGTTCTTTGGTTTTTTCATTTCTATTTAGTCTTAATCAGGTCTTACTGCTGTCCTTACCACCTCTTCTCCAATGCTTACTTTAATTCTAGTTTAAGAAGTCTGTTTCCTGGGGCCAGCCCAGTGACGTAGTGGTTAAGTTCGAGTGCTCTGCTTTGGCGGCCTGGGGTTTGCAGGTTCGGATCCCAGGCATGGACCTACATAACGCTCAGCAAGGCACGCTGTGGCGGCATCCCGTATACAAAGTAGAGGAAGATTTGCACAGATGTTAGCTCAGGGACAATCTTCCTCAAGCAAAAAGAGGAAGACTGGCAATGGATGTTAGCTCAGGGCCAATCTTCCTCACCAAAAAAAAAAAAAAAGGAAAGAAAGAAATCTGTTTCCTTTTCTCTCTTTACTCACATTCTGGCCACTTTTAAGATGTTTATTGTGGTAGGCTAAACAATGCCTCCCCAAAAGATATCCACATCCAAATCCCTGGAACCTGAGCATCTTACCTTATCTGGCAAAAAAGGGCTTTGCAGGTCTGACTAAATTAAGGATCTTGAGATGGGAATTAGCCTGTATTATCCAGGTGGGCCCTAAATACAATTACGTGTATCCTTACAAAAGGGAAGCAGAGGGAGATTTGGCACAGACAAAAGAGAAGGCAACATGCCTGTGGAGACAGAGATTACAGTGATGGAGCCACAAGCAAAAGATTGCAGGCAGCTCCCAGAAGCTGGAAGAGACAGGTAACTAATTCTTCCTGAGAGCCTCAGGGAGCGTGGCCCTGCCAACACCTTGATTTCAGCTCAGTGATACTGATTTCAGACTTTTGGCCTGCAGAACTATGAGAGAATAAATTTCTGTGGTACTAAGCCACCAAGTTTGTGGTAATTTATTACAGCAGCCACAGGAAACTAATAAATTTATCATACAGTTTTTGGAATAACATCCTTGGCATTTCTCCATTTCTTATGTTTTCATTGCCTATTCTAGCATTTCCCAAACACAACTGATAAGAATCAACCTGGGTGCTTGTGAAAAAATACAGAATCCCAGACTCTACCACAGACCTAGCAAAACAGAATCTTCAGGCAAAGTGCCTTAAAAACTGTATTTGGGAACACTAACTTAGATTTTCAGGGCTGTCTTTGTCTTTACATTCTATCAAAACTTCAACTCAACTAATAGTTTTTTTTTAATGATTATAAAAAATATTTTTGTCAGATTTCATAGCTACATGTACATTTTTATTTTCAGACTCATTTTATATTTTTAGCCATTGGTCTATCAATTTGGAAACACACCTTTCAGGATTTCTACATTTAAACAGCTGTTATTTCTGTAACTATGCATGGTGACGGATGTCAACTAGACTTATTGCAGTGATCATGTCACAATGTATACAAACGTCGAATCATTATGTTGTACACCTGAAACTAACATGTCAACTATACCTCAAAAATAAATAAATAGCTTCCAATTTAAGATTATTCCAAATTATTAAAATATTTCTCTTTCTTCCATTTCCCTATCCTTGTATACCAAATACACTGTTTCCCTTTTTTTGTTTTTTTCTGCTAGTACAACACTTGGCTTTTTTTTTATTGTAACTTTTATCAATAAAAATATTCCTATATTATATATTTACCACTTTTAGTCTTGGATTCTATTTTTTTAGGTATAGTTTACATACAATGAAATGCAGATTTTAAGTATATAGTTTGAAGAGATTTAACAAATATACAGGTTACACCCCTGTAATCACGACCATAATCAAGACATGGAACATTTCCATCACCCCCAGAAGTTCTCTCCTGTACTTTTATGCCTCAACTTCCTTACTTTTTAACTCTTCTGTAAATTCTCTTGTATGCCTTACTAAAGCATATTATCCATTTACATATCGCCTTAATAGCTATTAATTCCATTTACCATTTGTCTTTTTCATTCTTTTAACAAATGAGTTCTACAACTGATCTCAGGAAAATGTGTATGAACCACAAATGTGGTCACAGCAAAACGCTTATGGTGAGATTCTGACTCCTTTAACTTATCTTTCATACTAAGTTCAAAATATCAAGTAAAGTGTTCATTCTGGTTCTGCGTCTTCCTATAGTCAGTTCCTATATACACTTCACACCTCACATAATTTTTTCCATTTCCTGAGCCTAAGGAGAAAAGTAGACATAAAAAATTATTTTATTTGACAATAAGATTTGCTTCACACAAGTAAGGCTTTTTTTTTTTTTTTAAGTCCTGTTTCTAATAACTAAGACGTATAATGGAAAATCCATCCAATAAAATAAAGTCATCCCCCACATCAGCACAAAATTTTCACTGAAAGCTAATGTACTATCATTTTTCATCAATTCTAGATGCATATTTTTCACATTTTAACATATCTGAAATAGGGATGCTTTTCAATTGATGGACAAATTACAGTTTAATTGGCAATATTTTTTCTTTGTTAGTGGTATATAAAATATATCTTTTCTAATCAATTGCACCTTAGATTTGATAAAATATCATATTGTAAATTTAGTGTTAATTAGATGAAATATACAAAGATTCTCCAGGTGGATTTTCTTCTTTGTTTAGAGAAGTCACTAATTGTAGAGAGTTTTTATTAAGGGAAAGAGTCAAAGCAAACAACTTGTGATTCATCAACATTTAATTAACTTTCCACAACCAGTGAGGTCGGTTTGTCTGAGGAAATTCTAATTAGACTACGTTCACTGGTTTAATCCTTATCTGGGCCAATAAACTTTGTACTTTCTTTTGTCAGAGACTGACTAGATAAAACATTTGTCTCATGGTCAACAGAAAGACTAGGACAGAGAAATGGATTAAGTAACACAAATACGATATCATTATAAAAAATAATTTAAAGACACTGCCCTATTGCTGACACTCACTATTAGTTTACTACACTGACTTGTTTACTGT